TATTACATTTATTTTGGAGCAATGTTGTGTAGTGAGACTTTAAAACAGAGCTCGAGTCGCGACTCGAGCCTCGGAACTAGGGTTCGAGACTGGGCTTGAGCCTTCGAAGTAAAGCTCGAGGCTGCAGCTCGAGCCTTCATAGGAGGCTCGAGCCTTGAATGAGTCGAAGACTCGGGAGACTCGAGTCTTTTAACAACACTTTCTTACCACGTGTTCCGCTACGATCGTCTTTTATGTTTGCGCCACATCTATCAGGTTCAATGTCGCGGAGATACCCCTTGCCACTGCCACTACAACATCTAGTTTAATGTCTGACGTTGGTAACTTAAGCAGAGCAAAGAATTCTTTGAATAGTTCTTTGTCTGAATCAGAGACTTCAATTTCCGTAAAACCATTCCTAGTTTTGGTAGCATTAATGATTTGTTTTGCAATAATTTCAATTCTATTCACGTTTTCGATTGAGTTTGTAATTTCTTCTACAGTCTTTTCAATTGGATCATCGTTTTCGAGGAGTTGTATGATTTCATCTATATTAATTTTAATGTTATGGCTTTCTGCATATTTTATGAAATTTTCAGTAGTAACAATTGCAATGTCGTTTTGGTTTTCTGCGGATTGTATGATTGTGTCTACAATCATTTCTATTTGCTTGAAGTTTTCGATAGACTTTGAGAAGCTTTCTTTAATTCTGTTTTCGTGTTCTGTACATTGTGTGACAACATCCTCTACAATCATTTCTTCATCATTAATTTCTTCTACAGCCATTTCTTCACCATCACTATGGTTGTAGTTTTCAGTTGAATATATGACTGCTTCTAGAACCATTTCATTTTGATTGTTATTTTCAACATCTTCTCGTATTTGGTTCACAATCATGTTCATTTGGCTTCTGGTTGCGACACCTTCTAGGATTTCGTCCACGTTCATTTCAATTTGGGGAACCATTGTGATTTATTATAGAGATATGAATTTTAAAATGATATGTACTTTGATTTACACAAACGCGCGTCGACTTCTGCGATCTCCAAGATGAAGAGGGTCACTTCCACTTCACTTTCAATAACAGCACAGAAATCACTGGAACTCACTTTTTGACCGATTTGGTAACAATAGCTGATCACCGAGAGGCGACTGTTCGTATAAACGACGTGTCAAAGACTAACCACTCCTCGGTGGGTTTTGTCTTTATATACCTACTTTGACAAAGAAAATATGTGGAGCTAAGAGGCCATTGTTATCTTATCTATGCGAAAAAATTCGCTTTTGCATACCGTGGGAACCCAAAAAACTATTTTAAAATGTGTATTTTGCTAAGCAGTATTAAATTTATTTTTGTAAAATATTATTTAAAACCACATTCACAAGACAATATTTTTCATAATCCTTGATCCTTCGCTTGCTGTTGAGATAATTTAATTACTATCTACACATAATTATGATTGTTATACCATTTATAGTGTGTGTATTTATAGGCTTGTTTCGTTGGGCTCGCTGCCATTGCAGCGGTAAGTGCCCTCTTTGAGGAGTGGCTTGAGAGACGCTACGACGTCCTCACCTACCGCCTGACGCAGGTCCTTACCGGACATGGAAATTTCGGGAGGTACCTGTGTTTGATGGGGCGGGAGGAAACGCCGGGGTGTCATCACTGCTAGGACCGCCCTGAGGACACGGTGGAACACATCGTAGCGGAATGCCCTGCGTGGGGATCACGAGACGATCTCCAGCCACCGTAAGCTCGGGCCTACGGACGGCGAGCATGGGTGGCTCACCGTCCGGCCAGAACCAGACCAGAGCGTACGGCGCGTCGCGTTCCGCGCGCGCCTCAAAGAGCCATCAGACCACCATGGATGGGGCCCAACAGGGCTGATGCCGATTCGGAGTCGCGGAGAACTAACGGGTTACTAACGGCTCGAAGTGCAGGAGAAGGAACGGGTTGGTTCTTAGTCAGAAAGAGTCTGATACTCCCTCCCGCTTCACCCAGGCGGAAGGAGTCATTCGATGGTTATCTCTTCCCCTTCAAAAGAAGGCTTGTTTCGTGTAACCTTCTTGGACGCAAAGTTTGATTCAATTCAAAGGATAACTTGTTGTACTCTAATTTTAAAGTCAAAGTCAAAGCATTTATTTCAATTAAACCATAGTTTGGTACTTTTGAAACGTCAACAAATACAAAATAAATAATAGTCTGTCAGTCATTCCAAAAAGTAGATTCGAATGGAAAAGAACGAGCAAGAAACTCCATTCGTTACTCTTTTTAAAAAAGTATGTTCTACAATGTCTCTGATACATATTTCAATACTGTACGCATATGTAAGAACAATGCAAAGTCACGCTTGACGCATTATACTAATAACTTACTAGAGGTAAAATAAAAAAAAAAGAATAAATAACAATCTTAAAGACTAACATGGTGCTCACATATGCATACTGACAATTCATAGAATTAGTGCTTCTATACCTACAAGAAAAAGGAAACTCTTTGTTTCAATAAAGAAATGCTCGATGCCATAAGGAAACTAGATTGTCTACATTAGAATTAGAGTGTTAAATTATGTATTAAATTACCTACTATTGGAATTTAGCTACTGACTACATTTGAGTATTGTCCAGTGGAGCCGAACCAACATGCTGCCAAGCATTCTTATCTTCAAGATAATCTGTCAGTGTGTAGTAAGCTTGATTACATAATTCGCGCTTAATATATGTTTTAAAACTTTCATACTTTCATTAAGATCTAGTATGCTTATAGCATTTAATACCTAACCCCATAAAGGATTTCTGTACTCTGGACAGTCTGTATTGCGGTATAGCTAACTTATTTTTGCCTCTAGTATTAAAATTGTGTCTATCGCTTCTTTTTTCAAACAATTGCCTATTTTTCCTTACATACATTATATTTTCATATATATATTTACAGGACACCGTTAAAATATTTATCGTTTTAAACAATTCTCTCAGCGATTCGCAACGGCGGCGTAAGTTATATATTAACAATACTTATTGTAAGTATGTTGACTATTCGGGCATATGAATCCCCGCGAATAAAACTCGCGTTATTAATTATTAGGTACCTTTGTGTGCACCTGATTAATTTTACAATATCCCTTGCGACGCAGATTTTTTTACGAATAGCAATTATATGGCTATTGCTAAAATTAGGTTTTAAAGGTAAACAATAATATTAATAATAGATTAGATTAGTAGATTTTCTAGTCCGTCCGTGTCTTGGCTACGATTCAGTAATCTCTTTGGAGAAACTGAAGGATTTGTCTGTGCAATTATGGACGAAGTTATCCTTACGAATAACTACCGGAAATATATAATTAAGGATGGGACGGTTGACATATGTCGGGCATGTCATAGTCCTGGTGGACATATTATTTCTGGTTGTGGTCGTTTGGCTAACCGTGAATATTTGCATAGGCATAATCAAGTAGCCAAGATTATCCATCAGCAACTTGCTTTGCACTATCGACTTGTTGAGTCTGAGGTACCGTACTACAAGTATGTGCCCGACCCAGTTCTGGAAAATGACCATATCACATTGTACTGGGACCGGTCTATCATCACTGACAGGACTATTATAACCAACAAACCTGATATAGTGGTGATAGACCGACGAGTGTGCCGCACGATGATAATCGATATCACTATTCCTCATGATGAGAACCTCGTGAAAGCTGAAAAAAATAAACAAATCAAATACCTATCTCGATTTGGCTCACGAGGTTGTCGACATGTGGAATGTAGAATCGGCTATCATTGTGCCGATAGTCGTGTCGGCCAATGGGTTAATCCCTAATAGCCTCGACAACCACCTTAGGAGGCTAGCGTTAGGCAGTTGGGTCAAGGGCCTGATACAGAAGGCAGTTCTCCTTGAAATGGCGCGCATTGTGAGGAGGTTTCTGTCTCTGGAGCCCTTACCACCGGTTGCTTGGACCATGCTCCCACAGTAGTGGATTAAAAATATAAAAATATTTTAATATTTTTAAATATTATTTTTTTATTCTTTAGTATTTAAAAATGTAACTTTAGAGAAATTTTAAATAAATATATGGAATTAATAATAGTGCATTCAATACAAATTAACGAAAAACATCCAGGTTGTCTTATCGCTCGCCCCTCAGTTAAAATTTTCGTGAAATTATCAAGTCTAAAAGTCGAGCGCTGATTGGTCGCTTACATGTTTGGTCTCATTACCCACGGTAGCGCAGCACTCAGTCCTCTATTGTTCAAGCATGGTGTTTTCTAATAAGCAGTAATTCAATTATTGTTGTCATGACAGCCCAAATACGTAGTTTAGGTTGACATTGGTACCCTAATGTATATAGTTTCTAAATAAAAACAAATAGTAGTTTTAAGTAAAACTCAATACTTAAATATCTAAAAGTTTATTATAAACGGATTCTTTTATGAACACAGCGCAATGCTCTTCCAACTTCCCACCAGTATCGCGCGTCACTTCACTTTGCGCGGGAAACTTTTCTAATCTGTCCCATTTGACAGGTGACATCGTCAATATGACAGCTAGTGCTGTCGATAACATAGATTAAACTAGTGACGTTCATTTAGTTGATTTTCGTCGTCTAACAGTAGGTAGGTACCTACAAAAATAATGATCTGACATTTTATTATAACATGATCAGTACCCCACTTAAAAAAATATTCTTTCAAAAATATAAGTAAAATAATGCTTTCAAAAATAAAAATAGTAGGTATTAAATATTGCGCCTATAAAATAATAACTGTGAGTGTAATTTTTTTAATGAATAAGTAAAATCTTTGTTGAGTCATAATAACAAATTCACACTCATTAAGAACTACATTTGATTTTATTAATATAGGTACTTATTGATATTTTGGTGTTTGGGCTACTTTAGGCCACTACAAACTGAAATTCGGCGACATTAGGCTTATTATACTCTTTGGGGCCAGCACCGTTGGCAACACTGTTTAAATTATATTTATATTCTGTGCCGACAGTGGTGGTGATCAAAGACTACGTGATAACAACTTTGCGCGAGTGCGACTGCGATTTTGAATCGTTTATATTTGAGTTTTTCTGTTTTTCATATTAAAAACTATTTTAGAAAAAATTGTTTATTATAAATTAACAAAAAATTTAAATAAAAACCTCACACAATGGAGACAGACAATTTAACTAAACAAGTAAGTTTATCAAACAAATGAAAGAAAATTCCTGTCATCGCTTTTCAATTGTGTTATTTATTTACTATTTTCTCTTTAGGATGAGGAGATTGAGGCATTAAGTGCTATATACGGTGACGATTGGGCCATGGAGAGCGACAAAACGAGATCGTATAGCATAAAAATATTGGAAAAGGAATATGAAGTTGTTCTGTATGTGACTATGCCCGAGGATTACCCTTCGCAGTCACCACCCAGCTACGAGTTTTCTGCTCCATGGATGGACAGAAAAGATAAATCAGAGCTGCATCAAGCCTTAGACGAAATCTATTTGTAAGTATTAAATTGACTATGCCTTTGAAAAAACATTGCTCAATGTAACCTGTTGAGGTCACATCTTGTGGTACTTTTTCATATTTTCAAGTTTCAGCGAATAAGTCTACATTTATCAAAGTATAAAGATTTTAACAGTTGAATAAATTCAGTGCAGTAACGTTATTATTAATAATCATACTTATTGTGATTTAAATTTATTTCAATTTCTTGTCATTTTCAACTGTAAAATTACTTGCTGTACAATAAGTTTATATCTATTTATTTCAGAGAGAACATAGGAGAATGTGTTGTGTTTCAATGGGTGGAGAAAATAAGAGAAGTACTACAGACTATAAAGCCAAAAAAAAGACGAGAAGTAAATGAAAGAACTAAATCCAAATCACCTCCCACAGTATCTTCAGATACATCATTGGTAAGATTTCACACTCATAACCTAACTTCATAGTATACCTGCAAGTCGGTAGCTACTTTAGACTGCTTTCTTGAGTGTGATGGATATGAAGATATATCATCAGATCAATAAATAGTCCATGAGGGTGCTGGACTTGGACCTCCCGTACGAAACAGTGTTTGCCGTCTCTATATCTGGGAGGTTGGAGATTATACAACAGGGCCTCCTTAATCCGAACTCTGTAAATTTTATCCCCATTTGTATTAGTGGAGTGTTCGAGTATAGGAATATAGATGAAAAGGGTTTAGGAGCTAGGTAGGAGAGCCTAGTGTCCTAGAGGAGGTTTCTTCTTATCTTCTAGTAGTAGTGAAACTCCGATGAGAGGTGTTGACAAGAATGATTTTATTTTGCCAAACTACGCTACTTATATTTCTATTTACATATTTACAACTAGACAAGATCAGATATAGTTAGGTAATAGTTTCGACCAATAGCGGCGCGCCGGCGTGCGCGGGGCGCGCGGGGTGCGGGGCGCCGCTTTGCACACGGCACTATCGGTTCCTTCCGTATAAGTATGACCGCGCGGCGCGAGCGCGCGCATTTCTCCGAGAGCCGGCGTCGAGTGAAGACTGAAGACTACCTACAGATGAATGAAGAATGAAGATGAATGCAAGTACTCCGGCCTCCGGCTCCGCTTGCGCTGCTTGGCTGCTTGCTTTACCAAACCGCTTCTTTCGAAGCGATCGCTCGCGGCACGGTGTGATAACGCTGTTGCCGCAGTGATGATTATCGTTTCTATGCAGGAAAGTCGAAAACTGTCTTTTTCAAGACAATTGGTTTCTGGTTTCTTAAAACGGAGTCAAAACGTAAACTCGCCGTCCCCGGGGAATAAAATGGTAATCGTAAAAACTAAATTTTACAGGAAAAATAAAAAACAGTTTTTTGTGAATATCTCATAAACTAAATTAATAGCTGGATTGTTCAAATACCAAAAGAAAGGTGATTTTTTACAAAAGAATTGTAACTATATTAAATAATTTATCTTTCTTAGAAATGCAGTTACTAATTAAATTAACTTTACATGAATTAAAGGCACTTACTTTAACTGTAAAGCAACATTACGATATTATTCGCATAAAATCGCATGTAATACGTTACCGTATTATTGTATTGCTATGTTATTGGTCGATTAACTGTGAAAGGATCCCATATCGTAATGAACTGTTACCATTTTATTCGCTGGGAAGCGATCAATTACAGATTTAAGCAATAGCAACTGACGTGTTTATTCTATGGAAAATTTATTAGACTAACTGTAGGCAAGTATTAAATACTGAATAAATATTTTGTACGTGTGCAAGGTAATATGCGAAGAAAAAAAAACAACTGTTGTCTATTTATTTTTTATTTTTCATAATTTTTAACAACTGTTTATAAAAATCAACAAAATAATTAGGAACTGTCTATTTCAAAGTACTTAATTCTTATTTTTTAAAAAGCTGATATCGGTAGCTGCACTACTCCGTGTCGTCTACATGCTCAGAGAGTTCAGAGTCTGAATGTTCGTTCGGGTTATCCACGCAGCTCGTGAGAGACTCATAAAACGCATGGTAGTGCTGTGGGATTGCATCACTAGTACACAAACTTAATAAATCTGCATGTAGCGCTTTACTTATAGGTATTTGCTGATCATAAGCTTGTCAAATGCAAATTGATTGATTCAGCTTCTGCTGCAATTGAGGCTGTCGCTTTTCGCCCTCGCCTGGGTCTAGTTATTTGTAACTCCGTGTCTAGTTCCAGATACTCTTCTTCGAAGTTATACTTGAACTGGAGAATAGTAGGTTTCAAACGTGATACCTTCACTTCCATTATTTTTGCCCATTTTATTTTGTTTCCGTGAGTGTCTCTTAGCCAGTTTTTCCCAGAAATAAGGTTTTTTATGTTGTAAAAGTCACTCTGCTTCATCTCATGGACCTTATATTTATTTCCAGTTACTTTTGCATTCATGATGATGCTGTAAACTTGGTCAGGAGTATATAAAACTTTATTTTTCATTGCCCTTTCTATGCATGAATGCATGCTATCACCTTCGTTCTGGCCGTGGCCAGTCTCAAAAAATCGATGGGTTATATTTTCTAAGTCATAAGCTCTTATGGCATAAAGGTATAATGCAAAATGTACTGTTTTTGTTCTGACCAGCGCAGCCATCGGATAAAAAGATACATTTTTGATACCTTTGAGACCTTCTTGCTCGATGAACTTCAGTAAGCAACTGCCGATTTCAATCGATCCTCTTTTGGCAATAGACAGATGCCAGACATAGCAATTACCAAATTTTCGCAGTGAGTCGTAGACAGTAAAATTATAAACGGGGTATTTTCTTTTATAGTGAAAAATCCCCACTTCAGACTGAGGGATACTGAGGACCTTTTCTAGATCAAAAATGGCGATAGTTGTAGTTCTTTCATCCACTGCAGCTTTTTCTTGTTCTTTTAACTGGCGCACTTTATTCTTTCTCATCAATGTTCCCTATACTTGCCTCTAGACTAACTTTGGTTATTTCATTAGCTTGATAAAATTGGGAGCAGGTTCCGCATAAATCTTTCTTTGGTTTGAAGAACGAGTAATTAAACTCCGTGTTAAAAATATATTCATAATGCCGCTTTGTAGCCTTGTGTTCTGCAGAATAATGTTGATTGGGGAACAGAGTTCATACAATCGGTACATTTTAGAAATGTTTAGGTGCTTGATAAATAGAGTCGCTTTATATCTTTCCTGACATAGTGGGATTCTACAGCAGGAAATATATTAATATGCGCCATCACGCTTTCTTTCGTAGAATCACTCATCTTATGGGGCCTGTTTTTATGAATTCCCCTTTTGTCGATTAAACTTTCGTCTCTTTTTATTTTTTCTAATGCGGTATAAACGGTTTGTTCGGATACTTTTATCGTATTTAAAAAGTATGTTTTGCAAACGTTAATATTATTATTTAAGCCGTCTGAAGGAAATGAGTATTTTATGGTTTGTGTTCTGTTGTTTTTTTCTATTAAAGTTATTCGCTTTACAGGTTTAAACATCTGTGTGTCGAACAATATATTGCCATTGAAGTTCGTGATTCCCGAGTTGATAAAAGGTCTGAAATATACTTTCTCTTTGTTCAGTAGTAAATTTTTCTGCGCACTTTTTGTTACACTTGCATGGTGGTCCAATTTTCTTTGCATCGAAAGTTTTTTTAGAACGAACCCCCTCGTAAGATTTTCCAGAGTTTTTCAAAGCTTTGTTTTTTTTATTTTTCCATTCATCCATGTTACAAACTCGTTTTCTACTTAATTTTTTGTTTATTTGAGATTGTTGTGTTACAGAAGGTTCAAATTCTTCATTAGGCACATTCTCTGTTTGTAGATTTTCTTGATCAAAAGAAGACAATTCATTTGATTGAACCATATAGGTATCGTTAATCTGCGGGACTTCTTGACCTATTTCCATGTCTTGACAATTACCTAATTCACAATTAATTACTGTTGTGGTTATTCTTGTTTGATCCATTTCTATTCTCTGTAGAATATGCAGATTGTCATCTTCTGCTGTAAGACCTGGTATACTTGGACTGTTTTCAACTAATGTTTCATTTGGGTTCAGAGTACTATCTCCATTGTTCGATTTTAATGTCTCGTCTCCTGAATTCTCTTTTAGTTGGTGTTCTTGGCGTGATGGTGTAAGAAGGGGTGCTTTAGATCGATTGTCATGATCGTCTGAGGGTTGTTCCAATATAACTCTAGGGGCCTCGGCAAATTTGTAAATAGCAGTGGGAGAAGCAACAAAGTCCACATTATTATCTAAAATGAAGGATAAATTAGAAACTACTGATGGACTCCAAAGCTTATTGTTGGTTTCAATTAGCTTTTCTATACAAGTTGAGTCTCCTCCAAAACTTGAAGTGGAGCTTGGTGTTTGGATTACACGGTTAGGGCTTGGTAAATACTCAGAAGAGGCATCTGTAGAGTAATCTTCGTTTTCTTTATCACGTTCATCGTAATGTTGTTTTTTTAAATCTGCAACGATAATATATAAATTACTTAGGTACTTAACTAATACCACTAGTGTACTATACTGATAGATTTGTGATTTAATCACATTCAAGGGATGAAATTATTTGGGTGAAATATGAAGGTTTGGAATAATTATTAGTCTATTCAGTACTGTTATGCGTTGCAATGCTTTTTTCATGAGAAACCTTCCTGGGTGCACGCTCAACAAACAACAATAAATAAACAAACAAACAAAAATTATGTTTTATACAGAGTGGCTAGTAGATGATAAAACTATTCATATTAACTACCTCTTAAGTCGTAAGACTGTTTCACTTTCGTAGATCGTTGGATTACACTTGGTGATACAAGTTCTTGATCAATATCTCCAGTTGGATATTCAGATGAATGATTTTCTAAAAAATAAAAAAGGTGCATAAGTAGGTATCTTATCTAATTAAAAACCAATTCGCCAAGTGTGTGTTATAAATCAAGCACTGAGGGTGTAGTAATAATAATAACAGACATTTGACCCGATATTCGGGCACGGCGACTGGGCTCATCGAAACCAGCTAACTGCGCGGGAGTTGTTTATAGTGCCCAAGTAAACGCGCAATACACAATTGCACCTACCTACTATTTTATCACTCTCATAACCTGACGGGATGGTAGACTGGCAAGACTGGCGAGAGATTAGGCGCAGGACCGACTTATTTACGTACTTCTCCGACAGCACGCATCATCTATCTTGTCAGACAATCAGGTGATTAGCCTACATAATAATTTATGTTGTTATAACCCCCGGGAATCGAACCCATGACCATCAGATCTAGAAGCTAGTGCTCGCACCACTAGACCACGGAGGATTTAATAACCAGTTTTTTAGAGCTAAGTGTTAATGTATTCTTATTCTATAATGTATACAAAATAAAAATATACATACAAATTGCGTTAATATAACAACAATGAATTGCAATGAACATAGGTACCCAAAAACGCGCACAAATGCGTGCTCGCATGTGTGCGCGTATGCGTGCAACGTACTTACGTTGTTATTTACAGCATGTTATGGTTTGCTTGACAGAACGGAGGAAATAATACCTACTGTCATTATTTCCTCAGTGTTAAGCAGGAAAAAAGAAACAAATTACCTCTTAGTTCGTTTGACAGTGTTTTATCTACATCACTTTGGATAACACTTGCTTTAGCAGCGTGACTATCTGAGGTCTGATCTCCTGATAAACTATTTCCTGAGACAAAAAAAAAAAAAAACAAAATAAACCCTCTGTGTGTATGACAGTCCTATCAATGCTTCAACTTCTTTGAAATAACATATAGGTAATGGTGTTAGAACTTAGGTAACTATTAATCTTACCTGCATTATTATCAAGAGGTATTAAATCCAGCATACGTCTCGCTCGAGGGTTTTTCAATAGTTGCTTTTTCATTTTTGTAAATATTTAAACTTAACACAACACCTTTGAAACCAATTCTCAATAATACAAATCACTATAGTCACTCGAAAATAATAAAAAACGAATAATTCAACTAAGCTAATTGTTATGACACGATCACTTTCTTGAACACAATCATGGGACTGAATTGCGTAAACGAACAATGCGGATCGTTCGGCACGTGTAAGGGGCGGGGCATAGTGCTGTCACTGTTTCACAAGTGCATTTGAAAGAGAGCGATGCGTCTTGCGTATTTAAAGTGATCACAGCATAAATCGTTAAACCGATAACAGAAAATATGTAAGTTTTCGGATACAGTAATCGACATTACCTTCTTTAATTTGTAATAAAATATATCGTAAAAAACTTAACGATATTAAAATAAAATTGTCTGTTACCGGAATAAAATTGTATTGAGCTTTACGCAAATTAAGTAGTCTATTTTTCCCGCGAATATAATGGTAAGAGCATCTTACTGGAAATGTAACGTATCGAAAGAATTGTAATAGTCTCTAACAATTTTATTCGTTGCAAAAAGTCTACTAAGCATACAATTAAATTATATTGTTAAATTTATTACA